GTTGATGTGAATGTGATGGATTCTTTAAAGGTATAATTAATAAGAATTGTTAAAGCAGCTGTTACAACTGATAAGAATAAATGAAGTTAGAACTTTATAAATAATGCTATAAAGACAAATAAAGTAACAAACGTTAATGTCACAATCGACAAGAATTAATAAGCGTTGATAAAAAAAGAAATAAGAAGATCAAAAATCTTTCATTAAAGAATCCATCAAACATTCTTTATAATAAAAAAAATGGATTTGACCATTAATCAATTTTTCTCAATTTTCGGATCTAATTAAAAAAATAGATTATAAAGAATATTTAAATAAACGACAAAACAATTTGGACTAATGGATTCCTGAAAGAAAAAAATTACCAACTTCAGGAACGATTGGTTCCTTTTAAATATTTAAATTTCAAGCAAAAGTCTCAATTTTTTTGCAAAAATACTCTCCTTTAATGCTGCGAAGAAAGGCCATTTTGAAATCCCGAAACTATCAATAGGGTCAACGAGGAGATCAGCGAACAACTTAGTTAATTATTTGAAAATACGAGATATGGTTGAATTAACAGTAAATCGAAACTGGACAATTCGTTCACTTTTGCAATATATAATGCGAAAAAAGAATAAATTCTGGAAATGTGCCTAAAAACAGAATGTGCGACAACAGAATGAATGTGTTTTGCTTAAAATCCACCGTTATAATTCAGTAAAAATGTTAATTGTTTGAACAAGTGAAAAGGAATTAAAATATCAAAAATTATTGTTGATTAAAATAATCGTAGATCGGAATTTCTCCATTACTTTTCATACTACCAAAAAGCTATTAATTCACATGCTAGTGGCTTTAGGAATTCACTATTCGCGATTGCCTTACATAAATTCGCCCTTGTTCGTGCGGCAAACATTAGAATATTAGAATATAATAAAAAATATTAGAATATGCATATTAGAAAAATTAGAATAATATTAGAATATGCTCTAATAAATCAGAGCCGCAAATCTGGACTAGTGAAACACGAGTTGCGATGAATGGATGAATGGCAAACATCTTCGAAAATCGCCCTTATGTGAAAATTACCGCTCTTTAAATCAGTTCCCTAAACTTCCCTAAAATTTTTAAAATTACTTAAAGGAAGAATATCCTGGTCGAAACTGGCAAAAAATGAAACCTCATTGCTTAAGAAAAAGGTCAATAATTGAAATTTATAATTGCCTACTGTAAATTTTAAAATTCTTGTATTAGAAGACTTAAGAACATGAATGAGATGAGATATCCGATTTTGGAATCTTTAATTTCAGATCATGGAAAAGACTGTGATGATGCTAATGAGTAGTTGCAGTTTCATTATAACTTGCGTATTTCATAGCAAAATTAGAAATGTATGATATATAATAAGTGGCTCAATTACAAATTTTACATGATATTCTTCTTTAAAATACAACTGATGCCATAAATTTTTGCATTATTGTGTATCTGCTTAATATATTTGCAAAAACTGACCGATTATTTCCACATATATTTTAAAGATCCAACTTTTTTATTTTTTGCTAAAGCCTCCTATAAGCTAAGCAACTGATTCAACTGATTTAAATGTGGCTTACTAAATTTTAGACATATGAATTTAAAATAGATAACATTAAATATACTTTTATTGAGAACCTTTAATCCATTTTTTTCCTCGTTAAAAAATCTTTTCGAAAACATGGCCTTTACATCAACCTGGAATTAATGTACCATTAATTTTTAATGGATATATGTGATTCTTGCATTTTATGCCGATTAATATCGTGAATATTCTTTATTAATTAACATGGAAAATTTTTTTTACCTAAGCAAATTTTATGACAAAACGACTGCAATTGCATTGATTGCAATTGTTATTATTACCACCATTGTTATTGTTATTATCATTATTTATTTCCATTATTTCCGTTATTATTAAACGAACTTTAGAGCCACAAGCATGGCATATATGTCATTTTAAAATTTTGTATTCTTGGAGTTTTAAGTTCATTTTTATAATAGAAATAATAATATTAATAATAACAATTATAATGATGAGAAGTTTAACTTGATATTTATTTAACTTTTAAATTTAATTTTTCTCGATTTTAATTTCATTTCTCCATTTTCTCATTTTCTCGATTTTAATTTCATAAACAAAGTAGTAATAAACTGTGATAAAATCATGAAAACAAAACAGTCCAATCATGAAATTTAAGTAAGCATGTAATGATGACTGATAGTACCGAGCAAGAAACCATTGATCAGCGCACTGACGAAAAACAATGAAAGTAGTATTATATAATCGTAAATATGTAGCCAATTAATGTTATATAAATTTTATATAAATTAAATATTATTTCATAGTTTTTCGATGAATACGATGAGTAATCAAATAATATTCCATAGATTTACTTCACTCTAATTTTAACGGATGAATTTACGATGCCACAAATTTTTTCTCGCCAATAATTCAATTCTTCTTCTTCTTCTTCTTGCTTTAACACCATTGTTAGACTGGCCGGCGAGAATGAGGAAAAGAAAGAATATTTCCAAGCTTTTCGTTTCGATACTATGTATGAAAAGAATCTCGGTTCTAGAAGAATTCTAATTTGCAAAATTGGATTCATGCGATAAAATCCAATCTAAAATCTTCCTTTATTGCTTCTAATTCATATAAGCCAATGGTTTTGCTTGCCCTGCTTTGTCTACTTCTAGCACATATTGCTTTAAAATTAAAGGATTCAAAGCAAAGGAAAAAAAGTAAATCAATTTAATTCAATTTCAATTCAAAACATTGTATTTATATTTATAATGCAAGATTTTTCATTCTTTTTTCTTTTTTCAGTATTTTAATTTCTTCAATTTTTTTCAACTTATTTTGAAATAGCATCTATTTTGAGAATAATTGCTTCAGTCAGTCACCTTTAGAGAAACTTATTTTCTTTTGAATATTTCCAAACTATTTTATTTCTAGGTGATGTAAGGAAAGAAAAGACCCACTATTTTAGGTTCTCTCCACTGGTTATATATATAATTTGTCATATATAATTTGTTATATTTGGTTATATATAAATTGTTGCCAGAGAGCCATATAGCTGTGGAAGCTCAATTAGGCCATCTGTATCACCTGAGAGGCTTATTCCACTAAAAATTCTGACACTAAGAACTTGCATCTCAATAGGATATTCTGTTATAATCTATTCCAATAGGCAAAATAATGGGTATTGAAAAATTCAATCAACTAATAATTTCTTCATAAATCCCTATAATTTTCAAGAAAAAGAAATAAAATTTCTTTACTTCTAATGAATATCCTTATCAAGAATATTATTTTACCTAAAAGAATATGTAATGAGTCTAAAGTTCGTCAAAGTTCGTAAAGCAAAAAAATAAACTCCTTTATTATAAAATATTTGGCCATAATTTACAATAAATTTACTTTTATACTATTAGTTGTCTTGTGAAATTCAGAAAATTATCTAAAATAATACTCAACAATTATTGTTTTAATGCTTAGAATGCTTAGTTCGTCATTTTTCTCTTCATCATTTTTATTCAAATATCTGATAAACTTTTGTTTTGCTTGAAAGCTTCTTCTCTCATTTTAGCTATTTTATTAATCGCTAAAAGAAATAAATTAAAAAATCTTGGTGGTGCTACCGATCCATGAGTACAATTCCAAGTGAATATGTACCAAAAATTTTTAATTATAACTCACAGAGAAGCCAGTTAAACCAGAAAGTGAGTGATAACATTTAACTTAGCTATAATAATATATTATAACTGTTATTATTTCTGATGTCATTAATACTGCTATTATTCTCATTATTAACTTTACTTGTTAGCATTTTTTTTATTAATACTATTGTTAAAATTAGTATTGCAATATTTGCTATTATTATTACTATTTTTTATTTTCGTGATCATCATTAATATTTTTTCCAATATTATTATCAGTAGTGATTATATTTTATATTTATAACTTTATTACAATAACTGAACAAGTTTCTCCACCCATAACATTTAATTAAATGAATAATATATTAAATTTCATCGTTTGTTGGATGCCCTTGAAAAGAATGAATTAAGAATGAATTATTTAAAAGAATGAATTATTTAACTAACTACGACAATTTCTATCGCACAAGTTTGAAGACTGCTTTATATTTTTCTAAAAAAGCAAAATGTTAGGTTAGTTATAAATACCTTTGGAATTTTTCTATTTGCTCATCGTATTACGATATTATATATTTTTTTAATTTTCTGAACTTATCTAGATTCAGTTGTTGTAATTAGCAATGGTTAACTGGTTTCATTAAGAAAAGTAAATAGTCGGCATTCATATTGGACTAGGCTCATTCTATTTGTTAGCACTATCGGCGAGAGCAGAGGCTGATTCGATCCACAATTCTCCTCCTTAGCAAAAAAATAAACTTTATTATAAAATATTTGACTATAATTTACAATAAATTTACTATTATACTATTAGTTGTCTTGTGAGATTCAGAAAATTATCTAAAATAATACTTAACAATTATTGTTTTAATGCTTAGAATTCTTCGAATGGTTTAAAAGCAAAATACTGAGAAAGAATGATGTGAATGACAACGTGAAGACAGCAAATAAAATCGGATCAAGCAAATGTTTTAGTGGGTATGCTTCAATTTAAAACATAAGCATATTTTAAGAGCAGAGTTAAGTTATACAAGTTCAGTTATAACAATGAATTAACAAAATTATATTTTATTTTAATCTTGGATTGGTGGAGATAGATCCATATAAATTCATGTTCTAACACCGAAACATGGCGCTATTCTTTTCTTGTTTCGTAGCACAAATAAGAATATGATTGAGGAATTTAAATACATTAACTTGCCACTTCAACTCAAATTGATTTTAAATAAACTGATAATTTGAATGGACTGATAATTAGGAATGGTGCTATCATAGCAAAAGGTTGTGGGCTTAAAATGATGATACAAGATCCACAACTGTACTAACTATATTTTAGTACATTCCAAGAGCATCGACTTACGATTAAAGAACTAGCTGAGCAATTTCCCGAATCAAATATTAACGTCGATGATCCACCATCGAGCAAAGGCTTATCAAATGATGAAGCAGATCGACGATTATTGGTGACAATTTTAAAAAATTAAGTGCATCTTCGAGCATCTTTATCTTTTATATTTATCCAGTTCTTCTGATTAAAAATCCTTATAAAAAAAAAAATGTGCAAAACTGAATTTAATATTATCGTGGGCAAATATTAAAGGCTGTTTTCAAACTTTGTGAAATCTTTGAGAAGCGTATTGAGAAGCGTAATTCCAAAAATTTTTGTAAACTTTGCAAACTTTTTAAAATTTATAAAAACTATTGGATTTAGGATTTTAAAGAGAATTCTCTTTATATATTTGCCAAAATTTTTCAAATTTTCAATGAAGATTTTTTAAAACTTTACTTTTTTTCGCTCAGAGAGATGGATCAAACGTGTTAGCACCCCCAGCTGAGATAAGCAATGTTAAATTATTCCTTCGGCAGTTTCTCAATCTGTTTTGGATATTACTTATTGGTGCAGCTATTCTCAGCCTTATGACTTATTTCTTAGATACAAAGTTCGTAAGTTCAAATTTATAAAATTACGAGTGGTTTAATTATTACTATTAAGTGGTTAAAGCATTTCTGGTTATCACTGACTCTTAGTATAAAAAGGAATTTTTGCCAAGGAGTCATCTGTCATGAACGCCACTAACACCGCCCGCTTTATTATTATTGTAAAAGCATATAAATCAAAAATTTCGAATAATTCATAAAATTCACGAAATGAAATGTGCAATAAAAATTTAGAATTGTTATCAATCTTTACACGGCGATCGTTTTAATTCTAATCGTTCTTATAATGTGTGTTGTAACGTTCTTCGAGGAGAAGAAAGCAATAAGTGTAAGTTAATTAAAAATTACAATTTTACAATTCAGCCATATAGAGGCTCTTCGACCGATTGCAAAGATTGCGTGGAGAGGTTTCATAGAATCATTGATCCCAGGTGGAAGAAAATATCAGCATTCCCAAACAACCATTCACAACACGATATACTACTGGAAATCATAGATATTTTTGTGCTAAGTTACTTTGTTCTCTTATGTTTTCATTTTATCCACTTAAGAATATTATTTGAAGAAGGGACCAGAGCTCGGCCATATCACCAAAGAGATAATCATAGCACGAAAAAGAATCGCTGATAGTTGTGTTGCTGATAAGCAATATAGCTTTAATACCATTCCTTCAATTCTTTACTGTCTTTTTATTGTCTCTTTTCTATCATCATATTAGCTGGTAAATTTTTTCCAACATTTATAGCACAAAATTTTCCATCATTTTATTTCTAGTTTGTAAGAAAATTTATAGATTTTCAGGTTGTAAAAGGATTTACAAATTTGCTTCCAACTAAATGTTCCGCTATTCGAGGTGGAGAACAAATTGTTATCAATACAGAAAATGTTGCAGTAGGCGACATTGTCATAATTAAGAATGGATCCCGTGTACCAGCTGATATGAGAGTCTTGGTAAAAACTATAAAATTATTTGAACATCTGTTATTGTTCCGCAGTCGAATTTAGTGCCCTTCAGAGTACATCCACTTATATCACAAAATTATACAAAATTTGATAATTCTAATAAATTTAATAATTTTAATTTTTCTTCGAAATGATTTATTGTGACATAACTGGATTCTGGCCACTCCACTACTATGATAAGGCAGTTTTGCGAGAGATAAGGCACGAAATATCTCTCAATGCTATCCAAATTTTTTAAATATTCATTTTATTATTTATTTTCTACTTGAATAAATGAAACGATAACCTTAGCATTGCATGCTGTTTTTATGACTATAAAATATGGTGTTTTAGTGGTGTTCTGATCTCAAACTTGAAGCATCCTCGATAACAGGGGAAGCCGAGCCGATTGAATATAATTATGAACCGGTTGCTGAACATATTGATGTTTTTGATGCGAATAATGTTGCGTTCAATGGTTCATTCTGCGTAGATGGCGATGGTATTGGTCTCGTAATAAGAACTGGTGAAAGAACGGTGAATTTCTATCAATTTTTTCTGGAATTTATATTTTTAAATATGCAGATCATTGCGATTTTAAACAATTTTTCAGATAATCGGTCAAATAGCATCTTTGACAACTACTCAAACAGAAACGAAATCTTCGCTTGAAGTTGAGATTAACCGATTTGTTAAATTTGTATTCATATCGGCATTAATTATGGGCTTTATGGTTTTTTTAATTGGTTGTATAATGACGAAGTTCGAAGATATTCTTGGTTTATTTTCTTCCGGATTTCTTGTGGTGATTGTGGCTAATGTTCCTCAAGGTATAGTCTCAGAAAATATTTTATTTCACTTCGACTACCAAGAAATTCCTTGCCTTTAAAATTAAGGATTACCTGCAACTGTGACATCCGAATTAACAATAATTGCTCGCCGCATGGCTAAGAAGAATGTTTTTATGAAGAAACTTGGAGTTGTTGACGCATTTGGAGCAGCAACTGTAATCGCATCTGATAAAACTGGAACTCTTACAACTAATGATATGGCCGTTACAGATGCTTGGGCTGGTTTAAGATATATCAACGGTAATTTATCAATTATTAGTTTCCTAGATAATGCAAAACAAAACAAAGAATCCAAATCTACTTGAAAGAAGTTATTCATTTTAAGAAGGATTTTTTTAAGAATTAGTCCAGAGCATCGTATCGTATCTTGAATACGCTGATGATGTAGTCCTTTTTGTTGACAGTTATAATGCAAGCAATAAAAGAAACTACAGCTAGAACCGGACTCAGGATCAATGTAAATAAAACGAAAGTTTTTTCGTCTTATGTGCAAAAAGCTGATAAAATGCCTCTTTCTGTAAATTCATTGTCGGTTGAGGAAGTGCCCGATTTCAAATATCTTGGGTCCACTCTAATATCAAATGGACAGGCAAAAAATGATATTACAACTCGGATCAAGGCAGCTAGAAATGCGTTCTTCCGGTTGACGAAACCTTTATGGAGTCGTCGTGAAATCACCATAAAAACGAAAGTCCGCGTCTATGTAGCTGTGATCCGTTCGATCTTGCTATATGGTTCTGAGATATGGCCAAATGAGAGTGGAGAATATTAAGAAATTATCTGCCTTTGACCATCTTCCTTTGTCTAAGGCACATATTACGGATCCGTCGGGCGGATAAGATATCACATGATCGCATCCATCTTCGTTCAAATGCCACTTGCATAAATAATGTTATCATAGAGCGCGCAGCCTTCGCTGGTTAGGGCACGTTCTCCGTCGTCCACCACAGTATTTGACGCATATTTCGTTACTTGCTAAACCGTATGATGGTTGGCGAGATGGGCCAATCAAGATCTGGACTGATATGGTGAGGAAAGATTTTGAATATATAAGTGGACCAGCAATATATGGACTTAGACGATGGAAAAAGGAGTGGCTTCTAGTACTGCCGACGATATCATCAGACCGCGCCGCTTGGAAGCGTCTTACCTTTGTCGTTGAAGCCAGTCTAACCAGTAATGGTGAAAGCTGTTAGAAGAAGAAGACCAGACAGTTTGTTGCTTATCTTTAAATCTTATTAAATAATTGTATTTTCTAGGATTTTTGAGTGTAAGCTAGTTATAGCTAATAATAAGAAAGATTACACTGAAATACCACACGAGAACAAGTGAGCCTTTTCGATGAAATTGTAAGATATAAAAACACCTATAATTGGATAAAATCAAACTTCATCGACTAATAGTTTTTTGATTCTGGAAAAAATTTCTTATGGAATTTAATTTTTTCTATTTTCAATAGTTAATGGTTAGGCCAATTCTATTTTTAATAAGGATAGAAATTTTACTTGGACGATAGGAAAAGGAAAACAAGTGTCGCTAGCCCCATCAGAATTTTTTAAAGGTAGGTTCACTCCCGTATGAAGCAGAAGTTGAACCTCTTTCTCCCACTATTTTTAGTCTTTAACTACTGTCGGCTACCTTGATTTTAAATAAGCAAACTTTTAAGGTCGTAATTACGACGAATAATCCCTTTTTTACTAAATTGATGATTTTTTTACTAAATTTATAGGTGTTCCTGAAATAAGACATAGGACATTGAATTCTATTCGAAATCAACCTGGTGGAATTGGTCTTGAGGTGTTTGAAAAACCTATTCCCGACTTGATCGCTGTGATGACCTTGTGCAATAAAGCTCAAATTGAACTCAGTAGATCAACCGTTATCGGTTGTAAGTATAATCTAATCATTTCTATTTTCAGATAGGATTTCTTAGATTTCATGATTTCATGATTTTTTTTCTGAATATCGATTCATCTAATTTATTCGTTTTCTCATCATTTTTCGTTATAGCAGAACAGTTAACTATAACATCTTTGATGAAGAAAAGTGGTGAAGGTATTATTTGGCAGCCAACTGGTCGTTTTCGGTTTCCAACTAGCAGGTAAATATTTATTTTCTATCACATTCGCTAAAATTTCTCTTGAAATTTTAGTTTAAATTTTAAATAATTTTAGTGAAGTGGAAACAGGAAACCAATTAACTATGCGTCCAAGAATAAATCCTTCACTTTCCACAATGTGTGGCGGATTGTCAGCCGATCGAAAAATAACTGGTACACCCTCAGAAGTTGCACTCCTACGTTATGCTGATAAAGTGGCAAATGTTCCTTTGCTTCGCAGTCGCTATAAGGTTCAAAAACTTTTTACGTTGAATTTCTTATTTCATCCAAGCAAACATTCGTCTTTTTCAGATAGTCTTTGAAATTCCATTCAATTCTGTGCGCAAATATCATTTGATTATAGTTCAAGAAGTTAATGTTTCAATCAATCGAAATGATTACTGCAAGTTTATACTAATGATTAAGGTATTTTGCTAATGAAAATTTCTATTCGCCATTTCCAATTTGGTTTCCTCCATTGACTACAGAATCCTTTCATCAAAAAGTCATTTAGAGAGGAGTCATGGAAGTATAGCTGAGTGGCTAGCATCACTCAAAGCTTCAAGCGATAATGAACCTTAATTAATTAATTAATGACCAATTTTATAAATCCTCATTAATGAATCAAATAACACATCAATGTATTTCGTGGATATCTATTAAAAATCTGGTTCTAAGTTAATGAATTAATTACGCGTTTCAGGGAGCACCAGAAGTTTTAATTACGAAATGTTCGCATATTGCGCATAACGAAGGTGATACACTCATCAATGAGGATTTGAAGATGGATTTTCAAGTAATTAATTCTTTTACGTGATCATCTATAAACAAATTATATGAACGATATTGTTGTAATCTAGTTCAGTGATACCCAAAATTTTTGCCCTGAAAACCTCTTTAGTATTGAGTCGCCCTCTTTCGTATGTAATATTAAGATTGGAAAATTTTTAAATATATTGCTACTGCTATACCGCTATAATACGACAACTTATGGCTTTCAAGGATCCCTTGAAAAAGTCTCGGAAGTTGCTATTAGGGTCCCTCTGATTCCACTCTGCTTAGCTCTCTTCTAGTTCATTTTCACTTAATTTCTTTAGGATGCCTATGAACATTTTGGCAATAACGGTCGTCGTGTTATTGGATTCGCTAAGAAAGAGTTTGAAACGAAAGCAGATACTAAATTTATTGCTGATGAACAAAACTTTCCAACTTCAAATCTAATATTTATTGGAATGGTAGGAATTATGGATCCTCCTAGGTATGCGTTACTCTCTATTTCCTGACAATTCCATATTATATGGTATAAATGATAGTTTTCTTAAACAATTTCTAATTCAGACCCGACACCGCAAGTGCTATTGCTCAATGTAAGGAATCCGGAATTAAAGTTTTTATGGTCACCGGTAAGGATATTTCGTTATCTTTTATTGTCCTTCCTTCCAATTATATACCTTTTCGAAACTTTACAATAAAATCACTGAAACTTTTATTTTTTCACTGAAAATGATTTGATAAAATAAATAAATAAGAATAATTTGCTACGATTTTTCCCACTCCAATGCATCGTACAGACTTGTGATTATTATGGCAATAAGTTAAAAATAGATAGGAAATAGATAGCATTATTCTTCGTTATGCGAATTTTTTCGGCGGAATGTCGGTACTGTTATTATTATTACATTATAGGCCAGCTTTTATAGGTGATCATCCATCCACAGCAACAGCGATCGCAAAAGAAATAGGTTTGGTTGGTGAAAAAGAAAAGGTGAGCCACTATTTTAATATGTAAGTAGCCCTTAACATAATAAATATCATCACTGGATTTTATAAATATCCATCATTTTCCATTGTTTTTTTCTCAAATCACTTCTTCCTCTCACCAGACGGACAGAACAGTTGAGTAGAACGAGAATAAGATTATAGTTTTAAGAGGTAAAGGTTTGGTGTTTGCCACATAGAGACGAAGCTGTCATTAGAAAATCCGAGTGCGTTGCGACGCACTTCCTTCTTCACCTTACACCCCGGTAAAAATTTCTAACTGCACTAACACCAAGCGAGGTTAAGCTTACAGCAGTGGTGGGCGCTAATCACTTATTCATTAATATCCATTCACCCAGACAATATGATTCTGGTTCTTTATTTACTGAAGCCAATTAATATTGATCTATTGACCTTTTCTCTTCCAGTTTCTAAATATAAAGGTTCTTATCAACATGTCAGCGAAATGAAATATGAAAATCTGGCGAAGAATTGAATAAGTGTGTTAATTTATATTCATTACAATTAATAATAATTTAAAGATATCCTATGGTAAACATATGCGTAAAGTTTCTGTGAACGTTCCACATGAAGCTGATGAAGATGAAAGAGACTGGGCTGTTGTTCATGGCAAAATGCTAGCAGATTTGAGCGAAGCTGAATGGGATGAGCTCTTAACTCATAATTATATCGTATTTGCTAGGTATATTTTTGCAGTTGGTTCCATTAACATAAAATCTTAGTTATTTATTGAAAACCAACCAAGAAGGGCGGCAAGCGCCATGTGCTAATATTAGTAACAACAATTAAAATGATAAATAATGAAAATTAATGATAAAAAAAGAAAATATGAAAAAAATTAATAAAGTGAAGAGGAAAGAAGAGTTACAAAATAGTACAATTCGAAGTGAATGTATTAAACACATTACACATAAGCGAATGGCAAAAATAAAGATTTCACATTTCAGACTTCCTGTATAATTTTTAATATATAAAGATGCACCGGAAAATATCATTAATATATAATAAAAAAATAATGGTGCAATACACCTTGAGGAAGGCCTGATTTAACAGGTGTCATGTTGTTGACATATTCAGTCCCTGCTGACGATCTTTTGTGTAATCTGGCACCTAGTAAAATAAAATGTTATCAAATCTTTAACTTTTCTAGGACAACTCCTGAGCAAAAACTATTGATTGTTGAAAAGTGTCAAGCAAGAGGTGAAATAGTTTGTGTGACGGGTGATGGTGTCAATGATGCTCCAGCCCTTAAAAAAGCAAATATTGGCGTTGCTATGGGTGTCACAGGTTTTTCTTAGTTATCAAAACCACATATTTGAAATTTTGGCATTGTTTCTTTTCATTTAGGCAGCGATGTGGCAAAGCAAGCAGCTGATGTTGTTTTGATGGATGACAATTTCGCATCAATAGTGAAAGGAATTGAAGAAGGCCGTTTATTATTTGACAATCTGAGAAAAACAATCGCTTATACGCTTACGCACACTATTCCTGAAGTCGTCCCTATAGTGCTTAATTTCTTACTTGGAGTCCCTATGGCTATTACTTCATTACAGGTGAACCTGGAATTACAATTCCAGACATTAAGTTGATCTAAAATTGGTTATTTTAATTAATTTTTGCTTGTTCTTTTTTTTCGTGCGATATTCGATAACAGTGGTTACAAACCATTGATTGCATCACTACTGGATTTTATAAATCATACAGCGTTGTCAAAATTCTTCACATAACCCACTGAAAAATCTATCCATGATTTATCCAAAATGAATTTTCTTCTAGCAACAAGCACTATTAATGCTTGGAATCTATTTGCTACAAGAATAAGGTGTTTATGTGAATTATTGAAAATGTATCATAAATTAAGAACTTCTATAGCTATCATATTTTAGCAATATGATACATGACAAATATAATAATAAATAATAAAATAATAAATTTAATAAATTTGTAGTATATCAAGGATTCAGTCTTCTTCTAGTAGACTGTACCATTTCTGGTTTTGTTCGTTGCATTGTCGACAAGGATGAGGTCCTTCCAAAGTTCTCGATTCAATGCCAATTGAAATCACTCCTTTTCCTTCATCATCTAAGCCTGCATATCACTGGGCAGCCGTATTTTCCAGGTCTTGATTCGTCACTCTTTTAATGCCATCCATCACTTAGATTTAGCAACTAGAGAGATGTGAGTGAATCCTAGTGCCAAGTTTCGGAGCCATTTGGAAAAATTGCTCGTACTACAGCCAGACAGATGTGAAATTTTGTTTTGAGGCTGATACTATGACATTCTAAAAAGATTTCGTCGAATAAAAAATATATATCCAAACTGGAATTTCACTTGGCTATTAAGTTTGGAAGTGGATTTAAGATTCTTAAAATTCCACACTTCTTCGGCCACTCACGAATTTATTTGCGATTATGATGAATTGCGACCATCTGGTATATAAGATGAAAAGAACTTGTTTTATTTACACTGATTTCAATGCCAAATTTCGCTACTGTCGATATACCGTCCAACGTCCGTTGCAATTCTTTGCAGCTGCTAGCGAAAAGGACAGCATCAACTAACGATGCTGTGCTCTAGGCTGATCTGCACCGCTGCCCATAATCCAGTCTGTCGCTTGTTGAAAGTTGTAAAGGAGAGAATATAACCTCGATGCATCAGTCTATATTTCAAAATGTATTAATTCTTCGAAAACTTTGCTAAGACTTCTCTGGAACACCATCGTATTGATTTGCCATTCTACTGATTGAATCTAAAATGGTCTCATAGTTAGCTTTCAGCTTTAAGCTTCAAAAAATTCTCTCTATGGGGAGAAAAAATCTTTGGCAGTCTCATGGATTTCCATCTTTGTCTCGGATCATTAATTATTTCTTGAGCCTCGTTGCCTTGCGAAATATGTGGAACGATAATAGTTCATTTGAGCTGCTATATCCATATTCTCTCTATCTGCTATCATTCCAGTACCAATTTTAGTTGCCTTTGCGAGTATACAAAGTTGCCGATACCAACTCGCGCACTCTAGCAATGTGGTTTGACAGATGGATCATTTTGTTTGAGAAACAGCTTGCCTTCTGTATTCTTAGGCGAATTTAGCTGATCAACAATGCACCCTTCAGCTAGGGACAATTCTTCACCAGTTCGAGAGGTACCAAGACTGCCAAGGTTTTCTAGATGTTTCCCTTAGCTTGATTTGTCTCTGAATTTTTTAACTTGAAGCAAAAGATTTCAGAGGACGCTGCACGTTGTCAGTTCTATTCGATCATGGCTCTAACCATAAAATAAGGTAGTCCATAAAGTAGTCCATCCTAAAAAAGTTTCGGCTCTGCGATGTGTGCAGCTATCTGACACAGAACTCTTCCATCTCCTACCGACGATTGATTTAGCATAGAAGCATAAATAGAATTCCATACGATTGAGCTAATCTGCCATGATACTCGCGATTTCACTCTTCACTTCTACCATTACTACTAGTATTCAGTAATCAGCAAAATAGAAAATATCCACAAATAAATAATAAAACTATGTTTGAGTTAACTTCTTGTTTTCTTCAGTTGACGCTTGATATATTATCATTGCTTCGATAAAAAGTTGCATGTTCAAGAAATGACTGATCTGCTTCAGTTAAAAATCACTATTTTATAGTTCCTTAATTCATGGAATAATTATTTCAGTTATTTTGAAACTACTACAACCAACATCCTGTTTTTGCAGTCTGAATTGTTCTTAGAGTTCGCACTTTGAGCATAATTTTTTTTAGATTTTAAGCATCGATTTGGGTACCGAGATCACACCTGCAATTTCATTAGCATATGAAAACGCAGAAAAAGATATCTTGAATAAACCACCAAGAAAACAAAATACTCGTCTTGTCAATTTCACACTTTTGCTTTATTCATATATTCTAGCAGCGGGCATAGTTATTGGATGGTCAACAGCAGCTTACCTTTACGTTTATTCGTAAGGATTTTAGATCATTTGATTTTAGATCATTGGATCATTTTTATGCTTGCTTCCTGATAAGAATATTCTCGAATCTTCAAAGACCAGTTTTCAGGTACCACGGTATATCTTTATCAGATTTGTTCTTTAGTGCTCAAAAATATTTCAAATATAATGCAGTTGGTAATTTCACTAGTAATGGCAATTTATACGATGAAGCAGAACAAGTGAATATAAGGAATCAAGCAGCATCTGCGTACTATTTGACCTTGGTCATGTCTCAGGTATACTTTATACAAAATCTCGATGTCATCTTGTTTCAGTGTCATTAAATCCTAGAATCTAATGGTTTACATTTTTATTTACCATCTATCTAGTTTCATGCATATAACATTTTGGCTGCATGATTCGATATCCTAAATAAATACCATGAATTCAGGTATTACTAATTCAGGCATTCCATATCTGGATGTGTAGTACTCGCCGAATTTCATTCTTTCAACATGGAGTCAATAATACGGTATCTTTTTAGATGCTTTTAAATGTCATGGTGATATACTATTTGCTAAATTTCATTTTTACACAGATTCAATAACTGAAAATTTCACTGGGTTTCACAAATTTTATATTCGATAAACATATGACAATTTGATAAACATTTTACAGGTGACCATATATGCCGTAGTTATCGAGGTATTACTTATCATAATTTTCATATATACTCCTGGAATTCAATTTGTCATGGGTTCGAGCCCACCACCATATAAGGTTTTGTCCATAAATTAATTAAGTATTTTAATATTCAATGGCTTTAAACTATTATTTTTAAGAATGAACTTAAAGGAATTCGTATTCTCCTCAGCAACAAAAGGAGAAGAAAAGTAGGATTTTGAAGAAATTCATATTTTTATTGGCCACTTTTAGGCATGGTATTTCTGTATTGGGTCAGGAATATGTCTGTGGGTATTCAATGAAATGAGGAAGTACGGCATAAGACATTGGCCGAAACACAATCTAGTGAGATTATTCAAATGGTAGTTTAAGTGAAAATGGTAAATGGTGATAATATTCATTTTCATATCGTTGTTTTGAATCGGCAGTTATAATCAAGGAAAACTAGATAAATATCAAAACAATCTTGCATGACTTGTGAAATGTTCAAATTCTGAATTTCTGGAAGCAATTTTTATTATATTTTGAACAAAAAAGAACTTGAATCAAGCAAATGAATAAATTCTTGATTCAAATCATTTTAAAAATAGGTAAACAATAGTGCTAATACGACTGCGCCTAATTTTCTTTCGACTAAATCCGAAGGTTTTAATTATAAAATAGGACAAATAGGACAGAAAATTTTCTTGAGAATTGGTCATTAAGTAAATTAAAATAGAAGTCGAAGCATTTGGTACTGTTTCTCACTTCAAACTAATATCAGTTGTTTCTGATATTAGATGACCAAGTGCTCGCTTGTTTAAGAAAACAAACCGGAGGGTAACAAGCAAATTTCTATCAGATCTCCCAGAGCAACTATATATAGGTCCACTGTCCATTTCTTTATGATGCTATCAACGATAATATTTCAGAATTAGGAATTCGCACTGATAACAAACTAATATTGCCTAGACTTAGCCATTCAAACCCAAACAAAAAATTGTTGTTTATTAAGATGTTTTCACAAATTCACAAATATGAAATAAGACCTTTTATAGAATATACATTGGGAGCGTCGATGTTGAGGTTCGATTCCCCGCAGCAGTACAAAATTCGGGTGATGCTGGCGACTTACCTGTATTTCTATCGCTAAGCGACTCCCTGGTTTATTGTTCAATGCAACAAGCCAGTGGAGCGAGTCTAACCAGTGATGGTGAAGATTCTTTAAAAAAAAAAAAAACATACATATGCAAGTTGCAGCATGAGGAAATTACTGAAAATATTGAGGGGTTTAACAGCAAGATTTTTACGATTAAAAGTTTGCCTTTTAAATAAAGATTTGTTCAATTCATCCATCGCATAACAACTGGTCAAAAAGTTTTTCATCGCAGTCAATGATAATTAATTTTAAAAATAGTTGTACGGAGTTAAAGACTGAGAATGGCAAAGCTGCAAATACTTTTTATCAGAAGACTTAAGGCTAATTTGGTAATGATCTATAAGATTTTATGTTCCATCCATTTCAAAACTGGCCTTAGATATGCCTTAAGCGAATATTTCTTGGTCAATATTGGATATCGAGTTCTATTATATTAACTTAATGGGTTATTCTTTTGTTTAATAACTGAGTCATTCGCGAGCATGGCCATTCCATCGTTTTTTCCACTTATTTCAAAGAAATTTTATGCCATAGTTATTTTTCGCCAAAAGTTTAAGGAATATTTAAACCATTATTTTTAATATCCAGTGAATCTTCAACGAGCGAACAATTATCAAGTAAAACATTCTTACTACAAACTGTGAACAGAAAAAACGATCTCTTATGAGAGTTTAATAGCTTATTTATGGATTATGGATTTATGGATTAAACTTGATAGGACTCCACAGCCCTATCAGCCCATCACAAATTGAGCAAAATTTAATATATTGTATATATTACCTTATATATTGAAACAGGAATGGGACAAAAAAAAATTTGTGAAATATTCAACCCTCCACTTTTCTTTGTTATTTCTTATTAAAAGCATTTAGTGAGCAATTATAGTATAGCTATCATTCTACATTTTGGAGATCGTCGACTTCAGTAGCATATTCTTGAATGAACTGGAGAAACCTTATCAACAAAGCCAAAAGGATCTAACGGCTAGTATAGGGTATAGGGCCTGAATAAATAGCAAGAATAACATTAATATAAAGAGAAATTTACTATTAACTATTTTCATTTATATTTGGTTATTTAGTGGAAATAAGAAAGAAGTTTCAATGCTAACTTCTTAAACTGTCTATTAGTAACAACGTAGACATCGATAACTAAAACTAAAATACTTATTAGACTGTATTTTTTATGGTTTAAGAAATTATTTCAACTTTTAATCCAGCAAGCCTAATAAATTTAATTTTTTATTCTAGATTTTTATATCTTGCTAAACTTTAACCCTGCATCATCATTACTATAGCAAGTTTGACAATGAAGTTTATCATCACGAACACGTACATCCGCACCTTTTGTACCATTGCCCAATGTTTTGTTGCAAACATAACAACGAAAACAGCTTAAATGATAGAATAAATTCAGTGATTCAATTATCATAGCTGCACCTCGACCTGAAATTAAAAAAGAATCAAACATGGTTCGTTTTTTTACATATCAATTTTGTGCTATATTTACTATCCTTTCAAAATAAGAAAATAAGCGTTGCATCGAATTAGATAAATGAATTATGAAAAGTTAAAAAAAAATTTTATTATTTAATTAAAAAATTTTATTACACCTTTTTTCCTAAAAAAAATTAAGGAAAAAAGGAAAAATGAAAAAGATTTGCAAGGCAAAAAACATCGATAAACATAGATTAACAAAATAAATGAAAAATGCAAATTAAATTTTTTTCCAAAAATCGAACATTTCAAAAAATTTAAGGCACCGACAGTAAAGCTGAAGTTAATAAAATTTATCCTTTATCTAAAATAATTTGGCAAAATATTTAGTAAAAAAAATTCATTATCAACTCATTCATTATAAGCATTTGCTTCTTCAGTTTAGAATTCTTCTCTAGCTCCTCTGATTGTTAGGAATATCCTACCAGAAAGCCAACTGGCGGTATAATTTATGGGCTGTTCGTTAATATATATCAGCTTGATTTAATCCTACCAAAGGCAGGAAGCCTCGTCTTCCAATATAATAACCTGAACCACCTGGCTATTTGTTATTAGTTATAAAAAATGAGGTTACAAATGATAAAATGAGTTTATATATTTCGAAATTTGAAATACGATGTAAACAATTTTAAAAGATTCAGTAAAAAATATGAATTCAAACGCTGATCAGGTCTAAGGAAATCCGCAATGAAAGATTCATTTTTTTATAGTAAAGATAATAAATATAGTCGAAATATTTATTTGCATGAAATTAATTGATAAAAGCAATTTTCAATTTCAACAAAATGTGCCTTCGTGTATTCGATATTCGCTGCAGTCTTTCCTTAATTTAGTGCGAAAACTTTATGTGAATTTACCAACACATTTTTATAAAACATTTACATTCTAATATGTTTTTTTTGCCGAAAATCATATCATATCATAAAAATAACGAAGTATATTTCACTTTTTCAACATAACTATTAGGAAAGGCTTCAGCTTGAAATTCAAATCGAATTTCAAGCAACGTTAATTAAGTGCCGAAAAGTCAAAAAAAATTGAAAAAAAATGGCAATAAAAAAGAATGAAACGATTTTAAGTTGGAAAATTCCAATATTTTGGGATGGATGAATAAGCAAAAACAATTTTTCAAAATTACGTTTTTATCCTAAAATATTTCTTACTAAACATTTATTAGGTTTAAATTCAAATTAATTTTATACCAATTTTAAATAATTAACTATTCAATATTAATAGGAGCGTATAAGGAATTAGGAAAGTATAAGGATCCATTGTTAATTAAAAAACACTAATCCATTTAAACTTAAAACTCAGTGACTGTGATTATAGCAACACCAATATTACTAACAGTAATGATAATAATGACGACAATAATAATAGTAAAAGAATAAATATGTAAAATGCAAGACATGCCTAGTTCAGCATAGCAATGCGAACACTTATGTTTTCCACTAACTGAAACCACTTGTTCATTTGTTTTCATTCGCGATAAGCTGCCGTTTACTTCAGCTAAAATTCTTATATTTTTATATATTTTAATTTTCCTTAAAAAATTCACTATCTCAGCAAAAAAAGCGTAAATGTAAACGAAGAAATTATAATTACCCATGTAACTTACAAGAATATGAATTCACAGAAATTTCTATGGTTGGTTGACGTAGCTGTTCAATTAGTCGCTTTGGACTCTGAAAAATCACCTCTATTAACACTAGAAAGGACGAAAGTAGAAAATGAGAACTGAATTATGAGACAAGAATTTTTATAAAAATACCTCAGATTCTTTAATCATCCAATGATTACTGATAAGCGAATGTGACTGATCTTTGGAATATTTAGCATTGCATTCAGATTTGTTGTTGTGTGGAGCATTAGCACTATTATTACGAGGAAAATAATGGCTAGATAGTTTCGAAACGCCACTGAAATGGCAGTTTTTGGAGTACAGAATTTTGCTAAAATAATTGACACCTAATTCATTTAATCCGTTTTATTTCTTAAATGCACAAAACCAACTTTTCCTCATTTGCCTTCGGCGACAACCGAAGCCTTAAATCAGCATCTACTGTATTTTTACTGCTTGAATCTCCTGGACTTGGCAGTCGTTGTTGAGTAACAATTTGCTTCCATTCTCGAGAATCCTGAATTTAGATATCGATCATTTTATAAATTAACCCACACTCTATTAAATCTTATGGAACAAGGATGGTTTTTAGACTTGCGCCGAAATTATGGTTTCGAGCATAAGGCAAAAAAATCAGAGTAATCCTCTTGCACTCCCTCATTTCGAAGTTATTTTATTTCTAAATAACAACCTAGCCATTTCTAATAGTTCTAGCAGAACGCATAAATGATGAACCACTCCATTGTACTTAATAAGATTGTTCTAGTTATTAATAAATGATCAACGATATATAAAAACGATTTCAAAAGGAGAAATAAATGATTACAGTTGATCGAAAAAAAATGCCATTTAAACCAATAATGAACAAGTTACGGATGATCAGAAAAATAAATCTAAAAGAATGAGTCTAAAAAGTTTCACTTGATTGTCATAATAAATGCCAATCGAAAGGAAAATTATATAATAAAAACAAAACTGCTATTAAGGTCCGCTGGTATTTGTCACATGGAACTTTTTAGACTTTCTATGCTCTAAAATGAAAGCGAAAAGAATTGAAACGAAAAATGAATGGAAACGAACGAGCAGCAGTGAAGTAATGAGCTTACCACAGTTTCTATAAGTTCAGGCACTTTCCAAATATGTTCATGTTCTTTATATTTCTCACCGTCTTTCATTAACTCTGTAGAGTGTTTAATTGAAGGTGATGTAGGGAATGATTGGACAATTCTCGTTGTCAACGTTTTTTGAACGTTGTTTTTCACACAGGATTCTTTGGACATCATTTGTTGATTAAAAGTACTACTTTGCCAACGAGTTTTATCCAAAGAATTGTAGTAATCACTCATGAAATATTCACTGTTTCTCGGCAAATATTTCTCATCGTCAAGCAAATCATCATATGATCGTGTTCGTATCGGTATTTTCTTTGTTTGACTTACATCATCTTTCACGAAAATTCGGATTGGCCTATAACTTCTTTGACCAATTTGATCAGTGATGACTTTTCGATTCATCACTTCTTGATCATTATGGTTAATGAGTTGGATTGGATGTATTCTTTGAACAGATGATTTATTTGGTTTAAATCCATAACTCGCTATTAGTGCTGATGACTCATCGCCCTCTTCACTAGAGCGATAATTCTTTGTTTTCGGAGCGATTTGAATTCCAGCAGAAAAGTCATCCTCCATGGTTTTAAAAACAACTCGCTTTTTTGTAGGATTTCCACTTGAAGTATGATTGGTTGGCTGCGGTAAATTGGCTGTATGATCATTATCATTCTTTTCGATAGTGATTTCCCTAATACATTTTCTCAGATTATCAGTGCTCTTAGATTTTTCCGTTGAAACTCTATGATATCTTTTCTGAAATTATCTCTTTTTTAAAGCTAAAGTTTTTAATTTTAAATTGCTTTAATTAAATAAATAAATAATTATTTTTCACAAAAATTTCGAAATTAATTTAATTTAATAATCGAAATCATGGAGGCTTAGATATAGAATCCTTGTAGTTTCAACTGAGCTCCAAGCCTCCAACGATTCATAAATAAATTGTTGAAAAGAAGGCCGCAAATTTAAATTTTGATTTTTTTTTGATAATTTTTTGAAGTTGTGGAAATTAATCTAGAAAACTTTAGGAATACAAGTAATACATACCGTAGAACATGCAAGAATATTAGATACTATAATTCATGCGAAAAAAAACTGAAGCATTGCAAATTCCCCATGCATCATTATTTCTCAATATATTAATTTGATTACCTCTTTATCAAATAACAAAAAAGCGGTACTTATTTTGCAATAATCTTTTTTTATCCTGACATAACACTACAACCATTCAACCATTTTTTGAAATAAAATAAAATAATAGTTTTTTTCTACAGTCCAGGTGCAGCCTTTTCATAGACATGAAATCTTTAATTTTCCTTATTTGAATCAGAAAAAATTGAATTTTGCGGGTGAAATTTTAACTGCACCATTTTAAATCCCAAAGAATGCAATAAGCAAAATAAAAAATCATCGAAAAGTGGAGATAAGAAACTGATGCTTAGCTTTGACCATAAAGGCATAACAAAGCAGGAAAGAAGAATAAAATTCTATAAAATATTACATGCGGTTTTGCAAAATATTTTTCCATTTGGTTTCCTATTCCAAACCAATTACTCAATTTTGAAATTTAATATTAAGCACTTCAAAAATGAATCCTCATTTTCGAAACAAAACAAAATCAACTCATAAAAGAAATAAAAGATCCAAGAACTATTTCTAGAAGATTATTTAGGCACTGGAATACTTACTAGACATGATCGATCCGATCGATTAATGTTTTCGAAATTTTCGTCCTGAAATAACTAGATATACTTCAATGCTGGTATAAATATAAATGATTTTGATTTGAACGAATCTGATTTTGTGTATGAAAAAAAGGCATCACAATTGGCTTATAAATTCGAAAACTGGAGAAGACCACATTATGGGAAAGGGACAACAACAGTTAACTACCTGTGGTATAGTCTTATTTGGAGGTGGAGTTGGTGGTAATAATGGCTTCTGTTGTGAACAACGAAAATATGAATAAATCGAATTTTTTTCGTTTTGCTCAATGGTCATTTTCTGAAAATTATAGCGTTGGTTGAAATAAAAATAAATTTCTCTAAATAAAATTTTTAGAGAAAAAGTTGACAAAAATCCAAGAAAGTACTTCGTTGCACTTCAGTTGGATGATTATTGAGGAACGTATATCATTAATTAATATAATATCAATATAATTAACTTAACAGATAAATAATATCATTAAACTTAATAGATAATATGGAAATTTAAAATAGCCGAGTAGCTATTGCTCATATTATGGTTTTAAGCTCAAAGTTCGACCTAGTGAACATGTTGAGAAATCCTCGTGATAGAGATCCTTATTCCTATCTTCTATCACCAAGTGATTCTCTTACAAAAATTTCTCGTAGGCCTAACAGCTAGTGGAACAACCCTAACCAAAAATGGCGCTTAAAATGTAAAATGCGCGATAAACATTATTAAATTTGATTACAATAAAAATCCCTTATGAAATATATATATACAACCAATAATTCTTTTTATAAAATAAAGAATGTAGCGAATATGTTAAAAAACGTTTTTCTCACCCCCATGTGAGTGGTCATGATCATCACCAGAGGCAGTGGGGGAGTTCTAAATAGCATCTTAACTTTTCCTAATATTATGCTCTTCTAGATAGATATCTCTGATTTTATTCCTAGAATCTGTTTTTTTTATTATACAAATTTATTTCATATATAATTTCATATATAAACATTACATAAATAGATACATAGTATTGTTTATTTCGACTAGAAATTTAAAAACCTTCAAATGAGATAAAGCTTCAATGCTTTCACGTGTCACATCGTAATTTCTTACAATTTTTGGAAATCTTCCACCTGGATCGTCGTCTAAATTCATTCCTGAATCAGGAGTGCCGCCTTCTGAAATAACACCTAGAAAGATTTAAAAGAAATTTTCTGAAAATTAATATTAGTTGAATACTGCTGGCGACTACCATCTACTGCCTATTGCCACCATGAAAAAATTTCTAACCATAATAGCAACAACAGGAGCTAACCTAATCAGAAATGGTGATTTCAAATTTATCTTATCATTCAAAATCTTTCTGAATGAAATCAAAGCTTCGGTAATATAAATAAAAAAGCATCGTTTATAAAATGAAAATTGCAATATTCAGACCAAAACTATTCAGTTACTAAAGCATTGAATTTCGAGTAATAGTGTTGATTTAATTTGAACTAATATTCATGAAGGCGTGCAGCAAAACTTGATTTCATTATAGAAAACAAAAGATAAGAACATAAGAAAACAAGAAATACGTTCAAGAAATGAAATAAAAAGAGTATAAATAAAAACAAATATATCCTTTAATATTTAACCATTTCTTTTCCTTTCTTTATCATGAAAGTTATAAGCTTGTGAGGGATTTCGTTCTACTTCAGGAATAAAATCAGTAAGACGTCCAGGTTTTGGTTTTTCATGCATAGACGTTACGCGATAATCAGAATCACTGCTCATCGTTGAACTTTTAGATAAGCGAGAATCGAATTCGTAAATCGCATTGTGAACTGCTCTCTCGTTCTCCACATTTGGATGTCGCTCTATTGCCGACTGCTTATCATAAGAGTTCGTTTTTGTAACAGGCATATTCCTCATCAAAACGGCAGATGCGACAGCTGAAAGACAATTTAAAAAAGAGATGGCTAATAAGGGTAAGGATGAGACGCTAAAGTTATAGGGAGAAGCAAAAATATGTACATATATGAGAATGGTACAAAAAATTCGATGGAAAAAAACGTAAAAATTTCAGATGTTTTCGTATATGCTGTAAATTAAAAAGAAAAAATACTTACAATTCACATTCTGCTTTGCAGTTGAATTACTTGTTGACCATTTTGAAGACTGATTCTGCTTCATTTGTTTCCGAAATTCATAGAAACTATCCTTCATATTGCAATTTTGAGCAAACACCGATCGTTTTTCGTCAAATGAACTCGGACCAATCGATTTTTGTTCAAATTCGGGAACGGTATGAATCGCATTAGTATAATCTATGATGATATTTGGCTAAATTTTTTTGTCATTATTCCAATTTGTCATCAAAACTAAAATCTGGATGGAGACCTGTTTATTTTCATGTGATAAAAGTAATGCGTTAAATCAGCCATTATGAAAATTTTAATGCTAATTAGATTCAATCTTCTGAAACGGAGTTTAACAAATAAAACTTAAGCCTAAATTAATTAAATTTTACCTGAGCCATGACTGGGTCTTTTAATTTCCAACTCAATTTCGCCAAGACGAACTGCTTCGTTTAACATACGCATAACCGATTGATGATAGCGATCACTTACTGTTTCCCCATTAATACTAAGCACAATATCACCAATCTAAAAATTTGAGGAACTGAAATAAATGAAAAAACCATTGAATAAAACTGTTTCAACGAATCATTATCATGGAATGATTGGGAAAAATCGATCGGTAAATAAGAAAAAAATTATTTCAGAGGAATTTTCATTCAATAATTTAATTGATTTAATCAAATTTTTTATTTGGAAGAGTAAAGCAAGTAGCTAAAGTTCATTGCCTTTCATATATAAATTTACCTGAAGACCATTTCTGTCAGCTGAACTTCCTGCAAGAACTGTATCGACAGTTAATGATGCGTTTACATCTTTCCCACCGGTCAACGTAAAACCGAAATTTTTGTTGAGATTTTTTGATTGGCTTAGTTCAAGATTAATTACAATTGTTTCACCATTATTAGCCTGAAAATTATTTTCAGAAGAAGAATTTCAAAGTTTGCGATATTTTTAAAATTTGAAATGAGAATGAAAATTATAATTCCCTACCAATTGCCAAAGAAAAGGAGAAATAGAATAATTATAAATAGAACTATAGGTGCAGCAAATAATTAATCTATGAAAATATGAAGCATTATCTTGACGGTCCCTTAGAGACAGCAAAATACAGGACAAAAATTAAAGAATTTCAGGGATTTCAAGAATTTCAGGATATTAAATTCATATCTATATCTAAATATCTAAGAATATGAAATATAAAATTCATTATAATATTAATATCAAAAGATTTTAAAAAATTATAAAAAATTTAATTTTTAATTAATAAAAAAATTTGATAAAAATTTCGAACAATTTTTAAAAAATTAACCATATAATTGCTTGATAACTTTGGCTGAGATGCGGTGCATGGTTTGTCTTCAAATTGTATCTCAACTGTTCTCAACGTTGATGGAATTTTGGCAACACTCTCCTGGAAAAGCATGCGAAAAGTAAACGAATTAAGGAAATAATGAAATTCAATTCAAAATGAATGAAAGTTTTATGAGTCAATGGTCAAAACGAACTTCGATTGAGGAACTTTGTGATCTCATTGCCTCAGGCGAATCGAGTCGTTTTAAGCTATTTAAAGAGTTAAAATTATTTTTTGATCTCATCTGAATTGCAGCCAATGCAGAATTTGTGTAAGGAATCAATGATGATGTCTGAAATTGTTTCATTGAACACAAAATTATATATTCAACACTGATAATACAGCCGGATGATTGTTGCTGATATTATCATATTCAGCGTTCTCAACTTGCTTCCAACAGCAGCAAGTTTATCATCAGAAAAAGACCGAGTATGAAACTCATATGTGCTCAGAATGGCTCTTTAGCAAAAAATGTCTCATCCTACTAAAATGAAGCAAGCCAAAAATATTGTGTGCTAACTCTGGCAGTTTTTAAGAAAAGACAATAACTAATAGAAAATTTGATCAAATCAGCCAATTCACCTTTATGATTTATCATTTTAAATATTATTATGAAGAAAAAAATAAGAAAACATCTCAACTAGGTGTTATAAAATATGAACCATCACCTTGTCGGTCCCTTAGGTGACATAAAATATAAAAGAAAAAACATTGAATGTAAATTCATCTTACATCGGTTATAATTTTCTCGAATTGTTCATCAACAGCTGAAGAATCAGCTGATTCCTGACAATGATGTGATATAGCAGTTTTTTGTTTCTTCACGGGAAATTTCACTGCAGTTATATTGGCTGTTTGCTCTCGACAAAGTTCAACACCCAACGTTACTGGAAATATGAAAGAGCAATATTAGTACAGCCTTTTGAATAATGATATAATAAATGAAAAAAAAAATGAAATTCCATTTATTCTACAATCAAATTTTTAATATCACTAATTATTAATATAACTAATTATTAAAAGAAAGAAAATTAGACCTTAAAATTAATTCTATTTAAGGAAATTCAATTCCAGAAATTAAAAAAAAAGAAACAAAATGATGATGAAAGAGTTAAAAAGTGCGCAAAAAAATTAAAAATTATTCATTCCACCAACCTCCTTTAATTTTTTCCTTGTGTTTGTGTTGATTTAATGAATCTTCAATGGAATTTTGTGATTTCTCCTTCTAGAAGTTCTTTCATGAAAAAAAATATAAATAACCCGAATTATCGTATTTATTTTATAGCTATAAGTGTTTATCTCTCAGGCTAGCCACGATGGCTGTTAACAGGATTAGAAATATTTTCCAGAGAATCATTTTGCAATAGAAATACACATTATCATCAGCATCGCATTTTACAGATTTACTTCTATATAGAATAGAAACCCTTATCTCACGTTGATGAGCAATTATTAACCCATCTATCTTGCCTTTACTTAAATTAATAAGGCGAAATTAACTGGAAAAAATTATGTTACCCAAAATTTAGGAAACTTTTACGACGCTAAAATAGGTGTTTTTCTTTTTTCTCAGATTCTTCTATATTTTCCGGAAAACCTCGAGTATTATCAAAGAATGTTATTATCAATAAACAAACAACATTAACAATAAAGATAGTTATGAGATAACTCTTAGTAAAAAAAACCAATATCTTACTTCAGAAAAATGCTGTATCGGATTTTTGTTAGAAGTGGAGATTGAATCAGTATGTTTATTCTTTGCAACACTTGGTGGAGGTTCCGGAAAATCATCGGAGGAATCCTGAACACTTTCTTGCTTGTCCGACTGTGCGCTTTTGGGCTGATTTGGATAATTTAGTTTAATTTCGTTCTAAAAGAAAATCTTTGAATTAATTAAGATTAGCAAAGTATCTTCATGCTTTATGAGAAAGTAGGATTATTAGATGAAAGAATTCAAACACACCTGAGCAATGTCGGATTTTCTATTTAATAGAGAGTTGCTTTTCGTATCAATTACTAGCGCGCTGTCAACAAAATTTGAAGATTCAAGATTTCGGCTTTGTATTGCATTAGTTGTTGACTCGAGGAAATGTGCTGAATCTAATCGAACAGGATAAGATTTCTCAGCAACAATACAGTTTGACTGGTCTTTTGTATGAACTACAAATTTTTATTTAAGAATTTTCTAATTTTTACTTCAAACTCTGATGAAATTTGGTGCTATTAAAAATTTTCATATATAAAATGAAAACAATCACAATTAAAGTCAAAGAAATGATTAATGAAAAAACTAAAATTAGAAAAAATTAGAAAAATTAGAAAATTAGAAAAAGTTCTTGTTCGTCCATTTATTTATCAGGTCAAATGTGAAACAAAGAGAGTATAAAATGAAACATTGGTTCAAAAGATCATCGCTACTGGTTGAACTCGACTCGCTCCACTGGCTTGTCGCATTGGACAAATATGCCTTAGAAGTAGAGGTGAGTCGCCAGCATCACCCGGATTTTTGGACGCATTTACTCCTACCGGGAATCAAATCTCAGCATCGGCGCTCCGCATTGAGAAACAATCCACTGAGCTATTCCATCCCCAATGGCTCACAAATACACCAATCTAATTCACCGAAATAACAACCAAAAATATTTTGACTGAACACTAATAAAAGACTGCTCGAACGATATTTTGCGTCAAATAAAGGCGATTATAGGTTTCATTCCTACTTTTAGAGCGAAATTTATAATTTAAAATGAAATTTGCATTCTGCTTCTTTTCTGACTCATGTTTTAATGGCCAGATAAGGCACCAGCTAAGAAACGTTGAGTACTATTGGAAAAAGAAAAATGATAAAAGTTCCATAATAATTTAAAGGCAACCATCTAACGTAAGCGAATGCTCCACGCATAAAATTTTTACTGGATGAAATATTTTAATAGCAATTTTAAACAAGTGATATTAAGAATTTGATTATAGGATAAAGTAATTTTATTTATCATAACAGATAAAATCATGATTTGATAAGCTTACACCGCAATGAAATATCTAGTGAAGAAATCGAATTAGGCGAATTTCGTTTACTGTTACTTTCAAAACTGTTCAATGTTGATATTTGATCATCTGGGGTCGAATCCTGAATTGACATAAAAATTATGGGCAAAAATAGATTTATCAATGCAAAAAAAAAATTTACCGCAGGCCTATTATTCGTTGAGCATATTTTTTAAAAAATTTTTTTAATAATATTATTCAAATATTTAGGATTTATCACCAAGAAACTTTATTAATTCGATATTTCTTGATTATAATTTAAAAAAATTCAAAAAGTATCAATTTTAATAAATAGTTGTTATATTCAAGCAGCGGTGATCGTAATGATCATAATTAATTATATTACTTTAAGCTACCAACAACTATTGGTACTCCGATTTTCAAGGATTATAATTTGGTGTTTTGGCTATAAAAAGCCATAGGTTAACAACTTCAACAAACTTAATTCGTTATAAAACACTGCCTTATTCTTTTCTTACTCATGCATACCATATATCACACATGACTACTGTGCACTAAAAATTAAAAAATTTAAACTCAAACTAAAAATAAATTGAGTTATGGAAATATTCTAGCAATGCTAGAAAACGTGAAAGAAAAGTCCAAACTAACTCATATCTTAACTTAAATTATCAGAGGAATTAAGACGATGATAAATGTTAATCACTTATTTTTCTAACTTTTTCTTTATATGGGAAACCAAGAAAGAAATCCAAAAAAATCAAATTGGAATTTTGTGAAAAAATTTTCAATGACAGGATTTTAGATCAAATTCAAATTTTGCTGCATATTTATTCGTTTTATTTATTTTTTTGGATGAAATTTCGAGAAAATTTGTTGCTAATAGATATATTATTATGATAAAAAAGAAGTAATTAAAATTAAGCAATAATAAAACGAAAATAATTAAGAAAATAATAAAATCAATTGATAAATGTGCATTAAAAGAAAATGATTAAATCGGTTGATAAATACGCATTAAAATTTAAATGAAAGAAAAGCAAAAATAATGACCTAAATATTTGGTTATTATGCGCAAAATGGACCAAATTTTTCGATAAAATTTGATAATCAATCAAATTTCAATCAAATTGATTCGGCCTTAAGCATGGTTCAAGTCATTAAATCAGCTGAAACTAAATAGAAACCCTAAATAACTTCTCTTACTCATTCATATCACATATCACAAATAAATGACCTAAATAATTGGTTGTTATGCGCAAAATGGACCAAATTTTGATTTAATTCATTGAAACTAGATGAGAAACTTATAAACTTTACCGCAATTAGACAAGCTCATGCAATTGACGAATAATATAAAAGAGATTGATGATGGATGATGAGCACCTTGAAGCCGTCTAACTTAGCTTGTCACGAACAGTGTACCTTCGATTTACAACCAATTGTGTGTGCTTCCGCCAAAATGTGAAAGAATTTACAACAGTAATGAACGAATGCAATAATCGGTTAAATAATTTACTATAAAATTTTACACATATTTTTTTATTATAATTTAGATTACTGATCTTATATTTACGAAGCAGTGTTAATGTATTTTAGAATTCAAATCGACACATTATCAAATGATCAGTTGAAGGTCGCCCTTGTCAAAACAAGATTTCCCAGTGGATAAACAATTCGCATTAAATAACTTGGACAGCAACACACGACAACAAAAGAAGAAAAGAAAGAATTTCATTTTGCTGATTCTGTAAACGAAGGCCATCATTAAAACGAATAAATGATAAAATAAATGACTGTAATAAAATAATGGACTTCTCACTTCATATTTAAATCAGTACTAAAAAAGTGATCTTGACATAATTTGAATCAAACACTGATGGACCAAGCTGATCACTAATCAGCCCACTGATGAATAAAATTAGTTAAACTGAAATAAATGACGAATTTAACTTCGATAGTATTCTATTAGAGTAATTTCAATCATGCTGAATATGATATCTGATAATTCCGATAACTCTGATAATTTATCATTCAATAAATGGTAGAAGAATAATATAGATATTTTTTTTTAAATGGAGTGCACTGCACAGTTGTACCAGCAAAATTGGAAAAGAGAAAAACTACCGAAAGAAGAAATCCAGATCACATTTCTAACCGGAAATGAAAGAAAATAGGTATGGACTATCTAAAATATTCAAAAAATTTGTACATCAAAGATCAGATAGATTTCTACACCAAGACGATGGCTTCCGAAAGATTAAAATAAATATATTGAATGAATTAAAAAATCACATTGTCCTATTTTTGAGAAGTATTTGAAAGAATTTAACCAATTTTCAATGAATGCCGCAAAACAACTTAGAAAAGCTATAATTATTACCTATAACTTCAAACCCCCTCGATTCGGCATTCGATATTACTTTAGTATTTATAAAACTTGTTGCGAGCGAACTATAATGGTAGGAAGGTTAGAAATCCCATTGGCAACCGTAAATTATGAATGAGTGGTTCCATCATAAAAGCTCCTTTTCATCTCATATTCCATCTAAAAATGCTTTCGAGACTGGCTCGTTCGTTGATGAAAAATCATTGAAATACATTGAAAAAAAAAAAAAATCAATGAAACACCAAAAATTTCACCGTTGCACGTCGGTGAACGATAAGTTATCAGTTTTCGGTTATCGGTTTTTTAATCATTGGAAAGAAACGATTTCGACCATTTTTAAAGTTAAGTTAGTGTCGGGAAATTCGTGAATCTAATTTATCAGATTGAACGATTGAAAAATTGGAGTTGTTGTGATTAATATGCAAGCATGATAAAGAACAAGGTCTTACCTTGGACTGACCGAATTTCTCCAACCTGTTTCCAGCGTTAGAAACCTTTCTGGAATTATTCCAAATTAGATACTAACAACCAAATTATGAAGTCCTCAATAAATTTTTTATTTTTTGACATCCTCAATAAATTTTAACATCTTCAATTTTATAAACGAATCGATAAAAAATTCAATTTTTTTGTCCGATTAGTTTATAAGAATCGCAAAAGTTTACTCTGATGTCGCTGAATTAGGCTTGGAAGCTTGCTTATTTGAGATGACACTTTTTCGTTTCGAGAGCCAAGCGTCTAAATTGGATTGCCAACCTAGTTCACCATTATCATCATTAGTCTGCAATTAATATATGAAAAAAATAAAAAAATAAATAATAAAAATAAAAAAAGTCTCTTGCTCACTCCCTGTGAGTGGCTATTTTCAACCACGAGTCCTCTACTGACGCCTGGGAGATTGAGGGTTCTGCGCCGTATTTTAGCTATTCCTAGCAGTGCGCTTTTCTGAATCACTGATGTTGTTCTTGGAATCTGCTGAAGCCACTTTTTAAATATATATATATATATATAGACAGATGGCTGAGGCAACTGAGATTAAGGAATCTTACCCAACGATTGGAAAAAGTTGGACTAAATGGCAAAACTGAGACACTGATCATAGCATAGCACAAGAGCAAGCAAGCAACCAGATGCACTAAAGCAAGAATCTACCATATAGATAAGATTTAAGATGCAGACTGCGTATAAATGGCCCATAAAACTATAGTCCACTATAACAGTAGCATGTAAAATGCAAGCGGAAACAACATACATAACCAAATAGCTAGCATCGGACAGGAACATGTGCTCGGTTTATGTCTTAGATCGCTCCGATTCAGATTAAATTCTTCAGAAAATCATAGAGAATAATAAGGAAGTCTTGCGGGACTTCTCCATCGAGACAGGCAAACAAATATTATGTAATTAATTAAATATCGTAGCAATAGACAGAAATCAGCACTTGAAATCAGATATATAAATCAATACTAAGCGATAGGATCAAAAGAATGAAGGAACACGAGAAGAAATACCATGGGCTGAAAGAGGAATTAAAGAAGATGTGGAAAGTAAAAGATAAAGTAATTCCAGTGATAACTGGAGCACTTGGAACTGTGATGGCAACCCAATCTCCTAAATTAGAAAAATGGCTTCAACAGATTCTATGAATCAATAACATCAAAGATTTCTATCCAGAAGAGTATACTACAATCTCTCAGGTTGAGGACATGAGGACTTGAGGACCAGATGACTCTTACCACCAATAGGAAGTCAGAAAGAGATTTTTTTAACTGGAGAAACCATGAAAAAGTTAATTTCCAAATATTTCAATCAAAAAATAGACTTAATTAGACAGAAATAAAAATTCTCTTCAGTTCACTTTGTTCCATAAAACAAATAAAAAAATTATAAAATGATTTTAATAATACTCATCTAATGAACTGGTCAAAATAATATTTCATAATATTTCCAAATAAAGCAGAATGCTTTTAAAAAAAAATCTTTATCGTTAAGAATAGTTCACCTAATAACTGAACTGATGGCTTAAGCCCAATTTTTCAAATAAGTAAAGTGAAATGATAAAGGTTCAATTAAATTAAACATCTGAATTTATTCTTTTAAAATAAATGATGTAAATAAATGAACTAATTATATTATTTGGTAATATTTGACGATAAAAATGCAGGTGAATCGCCAGTATCACCCGGATTTTTATAAATTTACTCCTGCTGGGATCTCAGCATCAGTAGCTCGAGTTAAGCAATAACCTACCGATCCATTTTACTCTCTGATTTTCTCAGTCAGATGACAATACCCAATGAAGAGTCGGCCGTATTCGAATACAAGCTTCGATTTTCGATGGCAATTATCTTAGCAGTGAGCCACCGATGCATTATATCGATATTTAAATAGTACTTAAATAGAAATAGATAATTTAAATAGAAAATGTTGTTCTCATAGAACGAACGACTTTTATAAATAGTATGGTAGTTCCTTCTTCCTGCTTCATAAAATTTCTTCCCCAATAAAATTTAATTACCATTTTCTTTCGGGCCTCGTCGCGAATTCGTTTTTGGTGTTCACTAATACTGATCTGCTGTTTGGCTTGTTCACTTAACGCTGTGGCTGTCGTTTTTGCGGAAACAAACTGTAGTGGGTTGTGAGCCGTCTGAAAGAAAAACAAATGAGGCTGGAAGGAGGCTTTCGCTTAATTTTAACCACCATGTAATATTCGTAAAGATAGATAAAATGATAAAATGGTTGAA